GGATACGCAATAGACACGTGATACATGAACAATTTATATCATTGTCCAAGAATAATTTCCTCCATTTTTATTAAGGCTAAGTGGGTAATCCACCTTATACTCTACAAAAAAATGTAGAATCTTGTGTTCGGACTAATCTCCATTCAATCGATCCTTAAAACAAAATTACCGTTTGACAAGTATAATCATCGATCATGTATCACATGCCTATTATCTGTTCTTTATCCATCTTCATAGATGGTTCCGTAATGTTAGAATACCGACCCACAACTAAAAGGTTAGGAACATAGCCGGGACATGATTGCGACTAGTAAACACGAAGAAACCCAATAATCTCACTAAAATGAGTGGTTCAAACATCAAATAATGAGGATAAGTTCACTCAAATAGCACTAGAATGAATCAGTTGACAACTATAGCATTTCTTGTGAACATTTAATACATCTTTTTAACATGGGAGATAGCCCCGAATCAAATAAAATATTTCGGACAAGCATTTGCCATACCATTTGAGAAGAAAAATATCACAACTTGTTCAATTATAATTTACCGCGCATTTACTTTTCTGATAGTTATCATTTTACAATCGTTAGCACTTCATAACTTTCTTCTCTCTAAATTTTGTGTAGAAATACTCTCTACTGTTCTCGACGTCAAATTTATAGAAAACGCGACTTATTAGGACAGAAATTCAAGGATCGACCTTGTTCAATTATTTTTCTGTCACAAATTTAGCAAGACAGCCGTTGATGTATTTTCATGACAAATCAAAACAAAAGTGACCTGTAAATCAAATGGGACAGAAATATGATTGCTGTGACAAGTAGCTCCCAAACAGGCCTTAGTATGTTTCCTGTTGGGTTTCTGTCCTATCCTTGTCAATCATAAGTGACAGAATGCTCATTTCTGAACAGTACTGGAATTCAACTATAGTTTAATAACGGGAGACAGGTAGGGGCAGAACTATTCACATGTTTGGTGCGCAGGGACGCAAAAAACTTACCCTTTTTCTTCTCCTTAATCCCATCCCAATTCGTCGAAGTGTTTATATTGCAATGTGTCCAATCCAACATGTTTCAAATAAATCATTGATTTAGAAGAACATAGCAAAAAAAATCAAGACCTCACCACTTGGATTGTGACTGCTGTCCACCTGGTATAATTATGATGATAATCTACCTCCAGAGAAATTTCGACCACTTCTTTGTCGAAAAATTCTGATCATAATTTAGCCCACTTGATTCATGTTTATCTTCTATTGATGTTGAATTGTTGATCCATCAGTGAAGTAGATCTGGTATCCCATATCCAATCAAGTCTTTGACAAGGGACGGGACTCCACCCTCCGTCGGGGAACGTTTCCCGAGCTCCAGTTTCTCAATGAACAAACTGAGTGACGAAAAAGGATTCATAACTGATTTTGACATAACAAACTAGAGACATTGTTAATAAA